TTTGACGATTTGTCAGTTTTAAAAATAAAATCAATTTGTTATACTGATATCGAATTATGAGACAATCTTCAGTTACAACTTATGGCGTAGTTAGAAACTATGCTTTCAAAACTTGTTAAGGAGAAAATACTAGTTGCCAATAAATGTTTTAGATATAATTATTAATTAACTGAGAATGACAATTAAAAACTTTGTAAGAAAATAATTAATATAAACTAGGACATGTGTATAACTAAAATTTCAAAATTTGCAACTCAAAACTTCTATATTTATCTCTTAAAATTTTTCATTTCACATTAATTTTCTTAATTACAAGATTTTTAATTATTTTCTCTAAATTGGTTTTGGGGGTCCCATGCCACAGAGAGAGAGAGAGAGAGAGAGAGAGTAACTCAAGAAACATGATTGGTTACTTTGCCGGAGAAGCTCTGCACAATCAGAACCGTGCGTATCATTTGGATTAAGTTTTGCTGAGTACTACCTTCTGTCCTTTTAGATAATTAATTTAGAAAAATTAAGTAAATTAATTAAATTAGTTAATTATAATAAATATGTGCTGACTTTTCTAAACTATATTTTTTTAATCATATACTACCTCCGGTCCTAATTATAAGACCCAGTTGACTTATTTGAGGAGATTAAGGAAGTAAGTTAAGTTAGTTATTTATAATAAATAAGTGTTATCATTCCTAAAATATCCTTGCTAATTAAGTGTATTGGTTAGAACTATCATTATTAGAAGGATTATTTTGGAAAAAAATGTATAAATATAAGAGACAAAATGGATTGGGATCTTATAATTAGGACCAAATAAAAAATCAAACGGGGTCTTATAATAAGGACCGGAGGTAGTATATTAGAACTATTCTTTGATGAGAACCTTTTACAATCAATAGGAATATTTTTAAAAAAATTATAAATTTGAAATATAAAGTAGATTAGTCTTATAGTTAAGATCAAATCTAATCTCTAATTAGTTAGAAGATGAGGATTTGATTACCTCGAATTTTACGATGACTATAAGTTAAGTCTTCTCATCCGTCAAATGGTTTTTTGTAAAATATAAACAGCTCTATCTTGCTTATCTACTAAAATAATGCATTAATCTATTATATAAAAATAAAAATATTCCCACGTGCATATATTTTATTGTGGTTTCCACAGTTAATGTTACAAATCACGAGGAAGTCTTAAGCCGCCTTACAACCCCGGTCTGCCATCTTTGACATTTTGACTCGGCTAAGAAAATTTTGTTTGCATAATATTTATTTGAGAGTATTATAATATTGTTATGGTTTCACTGGACAATAATAATCAAAAGGAAAAATTGCAAATAAAGACCCCTCAATATATAAAATAGCAATCAGGGACCCTAAATTTGAAAAATTGCTCACAAGGACCCGGTCTCAATTTGCAATTATGAAATCATGGCCAAATTACCAAAATACCCCTCTTTAATTTTTTTTTTCAAAAAAGAACACCCCTGCCTCGCCGGAATCCGGCCGCCGGCGCTGGAGTTCCGGCTGCCGGAGCTCGGCTGCCTCGGCCGTTGGCGGCCGGATTCCGGCGGCCTTCCTTTATTTTTTTTTTTTAAACTATTTTTTTTTTTAAAATTGGGGGGAAGTGAGGTTGGGGGGATTTGATCCCCAACCTCATGCTTCCCAAAATTAGGAATGACCATTGAGCCAACAAATTTTTGCTAACATTATAATACAAAAAAAAATATAAGTTAACTCATTTACTCTTGTTCCAGGTGATAACAAGAATACATTTGAAAATAACCAGTTCTGATTATAAAATAACAAGTCTGGGATTAAAATTTAACAACACGTTTTTTTTTATAACAACACACTTTGTTGCAGTTGATAACAACAATACATTTGAAAATAACAAGTTCTGATTATAAAATAACAAGTCTGGGATTAAAATTTAACAACACGTTTTTTTTATAACAACACACTCTGTTTCAGGTGATAACAACAATACATTTGGAAATAACAAGTTCTGATTATAAAATAACAAGTCTGGGATTAAAATTTAACAACACGTTTTTTTTATAACAACACACTGTTGCAGGTGATAACAACAATACATTTGAAAATAACAAGTTCTGATTATAAAATAACAAGTCTGGGATTAAAATTTAACAACACGTTTTTTTATAACAACACACTCTATTTCAGGTGATAACAACAATACATTTGCAAATAACAAGTTCTGATTATAAAATAAGAAATATAAAATTAAAATTTAACAACACATTTTTTTATAACAATTAATTATTTTATACTTTTGAAAAATAAATTATTTATAACTTATAAAAAGTATTTTAAATCTATTTAATTTGCTAAAAAAATAATTTTTATCTCCAATTTATAATCAAAACTTGAAGTGTAATTTATTATAGATTAAAAATACTTTTTTATTGTTCAAATTTATAAATAAAATTTAGAGAAAATGACAACACACTTTTTTAATTTTTTTTAAAAATTTTTTAATCTATATATCTACACAACTCATTATAAATCAAACTACTTCTTATAAATTATAAATAGTATAATTTATTGTAGATTAAAAATACTTTTTGATTGCTTAAATTTATAAATGAAATTTATCTCTAATTTATAATTAAAAATACTGTTTTTTCTTTAAATATTAAAATTTATTATTAAGTATTTAAATATTATAGTATAATTTATTGTAGATTAAAAATACTTTTTGATTGCTTAAATTTATAAATGAAATTTATCTCTAATTTATAATTAAAAATACTATTTTTTTCTTTAAATATAAAAACTATTTTTAATATTTAAAGAATGAAATAATAAATTATACTATAATATTTAAATACTTAATAATAAATTTTAATATTTAAAGAATGAAATAATATAAAAATATTATAATGAGTTGTATAGATATATAGATTAAAAAAATTTTAAAAAAAAATTAAAAAAGTGTGTTGTCATTTTCCCTAAATTTTATTTATAAATTTGAACAATAAAAAAGTATTTTTAATCTATAATAAATTACACTTCAAGTTTTGATTATAAATTGGAGATAAAAATTATTTTTTTAGCAAATTAAATAGATTTAAAATACTTTTTATAAGTTATAAATAATTTATTTTTCAAAAGTATAAAATAATTAATTGTTATAAAAAAATGTGTTGTTAAATTTTAATTTTAGATTTCTTATTTTATAATCAGAACTTGTTATTTTCAAATGTATTGTTGTTATTACTTGGAATAAAATGTGTTGTTATATAAAAAAAAGGGTGCTCTTAAATTTTAATTCCAGACTTGTTATTTTATAATCAAAACTTGTTATTTCCAAATGTATTGTTGTTATCACTTGAAAAAGAGTGTGTTGTTATAAAAAAAACGTGTTGTTAAATTTTTATTCCAGACTTGTTATTTTATAATCAGAACTTGTTATTTTCAAATATATTGTTGTTATCACCTGCAACAGAGTGTGTTGTTATAAAAAAAAAACGTATTGTTAAATTTTAATCCCAGACTTGTTATTTTATAATCAGAACTTGTTATTTTCAAATCTATTCTTGTTATCACCTGGAACAAGAGTAAATGAGTTAACTTATATTTTTTTTTATATTATGATGTTAGCAAAAATTTGTTGGTTCAATGGTCATTCCTAATTTTGGGAAGCATGAGGTTGGGGGATCAAATCCCCCCAACCTCACTTCCCCCCAATTTTAAAAAAAAACAGTTTCAAAAAAAAAAAAGGAAGGCCGCCGGAATCCGGCCGCCGGCATCAGAGCTCCGGCGGCCGGCGGCCGAGGTGGCGGAGCTCCGATGGCCGGAACTCCGGCGCCGGCGAGGCAATGGTGTTTTTTTTTTGGAAAAAAAAATTAAAGAGGGGTATTTTGGTAATTTGACCATGATTTCATAATTGCAAATTGAGACCGGGTCCTTGTGAGCAATTTATCAAATTCAGGGTCCCTGATTGCTATTTTATATATTGAGGGGTCTTTATTTGCAATTTTCCCTAATCAAAATCTTGTAATCTAATGACAACAAACATTTTTCTTAAATTTTTTAAAGTATAAGATTGTAAATTAAAATCCTTTATTTAAAAATATAATAAACACGAGTCATGAAAAAAAAAAAAAAGTTGAGTGATAACAACAGTAAGAGGAGGACACGCAACAACAAACTCTAACATCTCCATGAGGGAGTAATGGTTTTTCAGAACATCTAAAGCACAACGTCAATAAAAATAAAAATAAAAAAGGGGAAGCAAAGAAATAAAAATAATAGTACAAGGTGTATTATTATAGATTTTATAAATATGAAAATATGGATATAAAATTAATTAATAACATGCCATGTTATGAGAAATACGATTTATTTAAACTCTGTAAAATGCATGCTTTGGGGAAAAAATGTCGAATGAACACTAATTAATTACCAATACGATTTTTGCTTGATGTTAATTGTAAAATAAAATATCTCTGATGAACGGGAACCATTATATGTTGGAGTATAATGACAATTTGGGACTAATAAATGATGAATTTAATCAAGTTTTAGGACCAAGACATTATAAAATTGCAATTTATGATAAACCGCGACCCAATGTGCATTGTGCAATAGGCATCACTTCACGTGTGGCTAGCCCGAGAACCAACAATTATTATTGTTACAATTTAATAAAATCATCATTTATTTTCTACAACACAAAATTATTTGAAGTTATCCGTTAATTAAATTACATGAAATATATATAAATTTACAATAATGAGTAGTATATTTCCTTGTAAATTTAATCAGATCAGAAAGGAACGAGACATTACTTTTGAGGCCTTTTACATTACAGACAGTAGCATCAAGTATCTGTTTCAGCACATATAATAAATTTAAGTTCATCTTCAGATGGCACTTTATTGAAAAATAACACAACCGGCCTTTTATTGGCAACCAAGTACAAGATTTTATGAAACAGAAATATGAAAATCAAACATGATAATTATTGTCTTGTGAACAAAAAGTTGAGACATTTTGATCAAATGGAGATGCTGTTTGGAATGCCCCTACCCGTGAGCCCTTCTTCACTTGTGGGATAAAGCAAAGTGTAGGGCACATTAACAACCCCAACCCTGTTCCTCAATTTCTCATCTTTATTCTTCGCTATGAGCCTTTCTTCAATCTCAGCAAGCTTCTTCCCAAACTTCTTAAAGGCTTCCAATGGCTTAACATCACTAGTCCAATCAGGACTGTCCCTTGTCCCAAGATAAACCTCATCAGAAGTGTGCCTTGACAATATCTCAATCACTGAAAGATCAATTAGTGTCTGAATCTTTGGTGTTATTGTCTTCAAGAAAGCTTTTTCTGGGTTCTTCTTCATCTCTTCATATTCTTCAGTTCCTTTTTCAGGAATGAATCTTCTACTCAGTGTTGGACGGTTCAGAATGTAACCTCCATAAGGATATTGTCCAAAATTAACAGCAGCATGAAGAGCTGAAGCAGTCCATATGACAATAGTGCAAGATTCAATAAGTTCCTTTCGTGTTTGCATCTTAGGCCACCATGGCTTATCTTTCAAATCTCCATGGCCAACTTCCACAAGTTCTTTCCACCAAGCTTGTAGTTCAGAGTCTGCTTTAACAGTCTCATCTGCCTCATAGTAGCAAGAAACATAGTCTTGAACCCATGTCTTAATCGCATCCCATATCTCAAGTCCATCCACAGCAAAAGGGTAATCCTCTACTGCAAGACGAAGTCCATGAGGAGAAGTTGGATCTTCAACTGCCATCCCTCTAAATTCAAGAAAACGAAGTGTTAATAATACATGTAATGCCTGAATATAAGTTAATTTAAAAACTTTTTTGGATTATTACCTTTTAATGAGGTTGGCAGGTAGGGCTTGATCAGGAAAAACCCAGTCCTTGTAAACCTTAGAAGACATCTCCATGGAGTATTTCCCAGGCAAGAATGATAACTCTATAATGCCATTTGCGTTGATCAAAGCTTGTCGAGCCAGTGCATTAATATTCATGGTGTCACGAAAATGAGGGTGCAGAAGTTTGTGAATAGGATGAAGCACACTTAGTTGCCTGTTCGTTGCTATGATGAATGGCTCAATAACTGCATGTGTATTTAGCCTGTAAAACACAATCCATTTCATTAATAAACTCATCATCATGATTCCCAAATGGCTAATTAAGTTAGTTAATTTGTGTTTATCTGATAAATTCTCAGAGGTTATAGATATATACCAGTGGCTAACAAGTTGGTGGAAGCCAGAGTCGTTAACAGTTACATAAGCTTTGGCCAAGAGCCAGATGGTAGCCTCAACGCCTTGGTCGGCAGGCAGGATCACCTTACTAACAGCACCGTGTTGGTCTCCATCCGGATGAGGTAAGCTTAATTCAATGGCCAATGGCTTCAAACTTCCATCATCTTTCAAGAAAAAGACTGTTCTTGTGGCGTAAGTCTTATTTCCAGTTTCACTATTTATCCGTCTCAGGTATGGCATGAATGCGTCATGGTGGTCTAGTATGAACAATCTCTTGCTGGTGAGCGCCTATGAAACATATATATAAAGGCGTGATTTATATATATATATATATATATATACTCTGTGTGTGTGTGTGTGTGTGTGTGGAGAGAGAGAGAGAGAGAGTTTAATTATCATCTTCTAGTTAACATTTTATATTGCTGTGATTCATAAGATTTATCACTTACCTCATCCACTGTGACTCCATTCATGTTTTTCTCCAATTGTTCTTTGGTTATTTTGCTGGTTTGGTCACCGTAGAGACTAGCATCTAGCTTGCTTTTTGGGGGAAACTCCTGCAATTAATTTATTTAAGCAAATTATGATAATTATTACAAACATTTACCTGTGGGACCATCAATTGAGTAAAAGGGTTAGGTCCCAATCAACTTTCTTTTGAAAAAAAAATACTCACTAATATGTCACTACATATTTTAAAAAGACTTAATCATATAACGTTTGACTATAATGAAAACATGAATCATTTGCTGTGCATTTTTGTTTGAAAACATGAATCACATGTATATATATAATGTTTTTGTTCCTTATGTCAGTTGAAAATGAAGTTTAATTGTTTAGATTTAAAATTAGATTCTTCTGATTAACTTACTTGGAGACCCTGGATTAAGCAAGGATTCACACCAGCAAGCGTCTCTCTTGCAAATTCTTCATCAGTCATCCATCCAGAAACATTTTCTGCATCAAGTGACAGAAAGCGTAAAATTATAGCTTTTCAAATGCATACAACTTTTCTATATATTTTGATCTTTATATCTGATTGTACATGAAGCTCATTCGTCATTAAACCAAATAAGTTAGTTGGATAGGACTTTCAAAGTTTTTATTCTCTTCATCTTTTTTTATTATTTTCAGATGAGAGAGACTTCTCAGTATACTTTATTCCAAGAAGCATGCTTCCAAACAAAGACGTTTTTTATTTCATTTTTGGTACCAAGTCACATCATTCCAGGTGCTGTACAGAAGTAAACTCTGTTGGATTTTCTTATAAATATATAAAATAATACCTTTAAACCATTATCAAGAGTTACTTAATTAAGATGATACAAATGGTTAATTAATTTACCTCTGATGACCGAGGGAGTAGGAAATCTGAGAAACTGTTCTCCATCAGTTCGGAAAAGTTCAGAGAGCAATGGAATAGGCAATTTCTCACTAAATTGCTTAAACAAGTCGTGTGGAAGCTTCAACCCACCACTATAAAGATCACGAACATTATCGAAGTCTTTGAACTCATTTGATAATCTAAATGCTGATTCCAATAAAGGCCTCAGATCTTGAGCCACAGATTTGAGCAAATATGCCAAGAAATCTGATAACTTGGTGTGCCCAAACCTCTCATCTCGTGGCACATAGATATCGAAGTTTTCAACCAGGAAAAGAAGCCTGCTCTCAGTGCTCGGATCTGTTCAAGCATCGATCGAAACAAACTAAAAATATGAACAAACAACCAAAACTAGCTTGTTGCTTATTATAATAGGTAGAAAAATGATCAAACCAGCGAGAAGAAGACACACACACACACACACACACACATATATATAGTTAGGTGTTACCAGATTTGTTAGGTGGCCTGCTGGTTCTTCCTCTACGAGGATAAGGATAACCGCTAGAGCCTCCAAGAGTTGGACGAGCTAGGGCTTCCTTCTCATCAGGATCACCCAGGTCGTTATAAGTAGCATAATCATAGACTCTATCCCATTCTTTGCACTCTGAGAATCCATCTCCTCTTAAAGTGTTGAGTTCCTGTTCTCTGTATTTCCTCAATGGCGTTGGAGTTTGACTTGGCAGATATGCCTATACAATATAAATATTAATTAATTTCTTCCTCAGCTGATAGTTCTACTGGAGAAAAAAAATCATTATAGAGATAAAACATTTCATAATAACGTTGAAATGTTGAATATGTATTATTTAACGTACCTTGTTGGCGAAGAAGATGCGATCGGTTTGGTACTTGGTACGAGGATAAATCCAAGAGTTGCAAACAAAGTGGATGGAGCCATGATTGGGGATGTCATCAAGTGTGAGACTCACAAGAAAGAATTCATTGTGAAGATTGTTTCTGATCACAAAAGCTCCTGGCAACCCAAACCCATCATCGTACTCAAAATGAACCCTACATGCTGCTTGACCATTCAACAACGTTGGCAATGTCCGAATGAAACCTTCCAACGGTGCAGCCTTCCCAAGTTTCCCCAAACCATTCCCTGCTCAAATTTCAAAATCATGTGAATTCATCACTTAATTGGAAGCTTAATTAGCTTTCATCTTGTTATGTTCAATTTGATCCGTTATATATGGTCTTATAGTTAGAGAGAAAAAGAGATATGCCAAAAAAAAATGGAGAAAAATAATGATTAACCAACAAACCTTGATCCTATTATGGGAGTGAAAGCAGCTTTGACTGCTTAAACAGGAAATCTTAAATACGAGATACTCTAGCTGAGTTTGACAACACTTGAATCTGACCCAGTCAGACAAGCATGCTAAAAAAACAATGGTGAAAAGTTTAGAACGAACCAGGATCAGCTTTGGTGGAGCTAATCAATTGAACAGAGACAGCTCCACCAATTATTTGATGAAGACCATCGAAGATAGAGGAGGCAGCATCAAGACCCAAGTTGATTCCAGCTTTGAGGTCCAAATTATTGAACTCCAAGACCTTCTTGCTCATCAACACCACTGTTCCTTTGATCTTTCCTTTGTTGTGACCAAAGATATCAGACACAAAGTTCACTCCTGAACTTAACATCTTTCCTTCTTCTTAACAGTAACTAGAACAAGAATATAATCGAAGATTAGGCAATTCCCTCAGAGAAGCTTTTCTGAATCTGTTCGATGAAGCAGAGCCAGACGTGGTGGGTATTTATAGAGTGGAAGGTGATCATTGTGGGTAGGTAAAGATGAATGAGATATATGTTGACGTGATGGGTTTTAAGTAATTTCAAAGGCCTTTCTGATAACTCCATGTGCACAACGTGCCTTTTGGCTTCCATGAAACAAGACACGAGATTGACTACGAGGGAATCATATTTACATCCAAACAAAGCCCAATTAAACTAACCATTGTTTTACCAAAGTACAATAACGGTCTTTTCAAATAATATTCCTATTTTTCTAATATTCACTACCAGGAAAAACCAAACCTATCCGTGAAATGATAAGTTTCAGAATATAGTACTTTGGCATATAATATTTTAACGTCTACCTACTCTCTCACAACCAAGAGATGTTCGCATTCTCAATATTTTAACGTCCACTTCGCATTCTCAATATTTTAACGTCCACTTCGCATTCTCAATATTTTAACGTCCACTTACCTTTTTAATGATATCTTCTCTAGTTGGTTAGGCCCCTAGGGGGTCATATGCAAAAACAATAATTTCAAAAAATTTTATTACATATATTATTGTGAATTTTTTATTCGTTTACCTTCTTTTTTCAATTAATTTTATTTCTAAACAGAGGCTTTATGATTAATTTGTGGATTCCTAAATTTTGGTAATGGAATTATAAAAAATAATACGGTTACTCATATTTTGTCATTTATGCTAGAGTATATATTTTTACTTTTGGATGGAAATGCGAAAATGACACAATTTAGTAAATAATTATTCCGCATGTTGAAGACGGAGATATTTTGGATGGAATTGAATATTTTATTTTTTTAATGATATGATGAGGCAGAAGAAGATAACTATATTATCTAAATTTGGCTAAAAATATACGTTTGGTTCTTTAAGTTTCAGCTTAGAGCAACTGTGTTGTGTTATATATATATTTTTAATTCTTACAAGAAATTGCAACACAAATAAAAAAATTTAATTTTAATTTCTCTAAATTTGGTCACCTTTAAAATTTTTATATAATCAAACTTTAAATATTAAAAATATTAAAAGTAATTAAAAACAAATTCACGAGCCAAATGTTTGCGTGATGACAAATGACAGAAAGTTTAAATATTCACCTGAAAATGACATAAAACGAAAATTAATCAATTGAATACAATAACCCTTAATGCAGGTTAAACATGATCATTGTTTTTTGTGTCATGTTTAACATGATCAACTTAATTAATGAATATATTATCGTTAATCCAAGTCAGACAAGAATACAATATGATAAAGAACAAATCTACTCTTGGCTAGGAAGGACAATTGAAAACATGAAATTTCTTAATGCATTTTACTTCAAAGATAGTATTGTAATTATTAATTAAAAAATGTGCATACAACATTGGGGCAAGTGGTGAAAAACAATTGATGTATTAGGTGTATTGTGATATGATGGCCATTTGAATCTTAATTTAATCATTAGACCATGACCGTGCTACTTTACACGTGAATAAAATGTAAAATATCATAATACACATAAAAAACAAAACATAATATCATCATTAAGAAATAAACAAAATATAATTATTAAGTTTGTTACAATAAATTATCACTATTTATTAGTGGTGATGACAACTACTTCCTCCGCTCCTTTTTACAAGTGACTAATAACTAAAATATGATGTTTAAGAAAATAATTAAAATTAGTTAAAAGTATTAAATATGTAAGAAATAATTTTTTTTCCAAGCATGTCCTTATTTATAAGGGGCAAGTAAGGAAAAAAAAGTATGAAAGAGAATGTAATAAACCTTTTAATTAATGCAATATATAAATTTAATTAGGAGCAAAAATGGTAAAAACATATTAAATATTTAAGCAACCATAAGTTAGATATTATAAAAATGACTAATTTCATACTCTTATAAAAATGACCTGAAGGAGTATATACTCCCACCGATCCTATTTATAAGTTTTAAATTTAAAAAGGAATGTGATCTATTTTATAAGTTTCAATTTAGGTTTGTTTTAACATTTAATGTATTTTTTCAATATTGCCCTTAATTATTTTCCTCTTATCACATTTCTTCATACATTTTCTTTCATCCTTTTTCTAATTTATTAAAAGGGCACATTTGGAAACAAAATTATATTTCTAACCTATTTATTATTTGTAATTAATTTTAACTAATTATTCGTTATCGGTAAATTAGTTTTTTGAAACTTATTATAAGAATAGAAGATATTACAAGGGAATCACCAAAGAATTCTTTTAATTAATAATCAAATTAATTACTTAATTGGATGTATTTTTCTTGGCGACAAATCCGACGTCATAATTTAATGAGACTTTGATTAGCATACCAATAAATATCAATACTATAGTTTTCTCAGCCTTTTGGCTAAGATCAAGTGTAGCATCAATAGATATTAAAAATTGTTACATAATTGTAGCGATGATGAAAGGCGTAGCTAAAAGTCCAAGCTCTGGATCAACGAGATGGATTTTTTTTTTAATGTATTACCACAAAAAACTGTACAATTTTTATGATATGAGCAATTAATAAAGTCACATAGATACACGCGATTAAGACATCGAAACACCAAAATCTCTAAATTCGGTTTTCAGTTGTGATTAATTACTCATTAGTGGATGATGTTGAACTTTGCAAATCCCGCCTTTAATCACGTGAACCCCATCTCATTGATTCTCTTAACAAGATAAAAATAATAATAATAATAACAAATCACATGCGTTTAATACTTCCAAGCACAGTAACAGGGACGCAAGGTCCAAAAAAAAAAAGGGCACAGTAACGTGGACCACTTGCTTATGTGCCCAGAAATTAATACTCCTCTTGTCCTTAATATAAGATCTATTTAACTAATTTGATTATACTAAAAAAAATCAGGTAAGTTAGTTAATTATAAGAAAAATGACACATTTTTCCTAAAACACTATAATCATCTTTTTTAATACCTCATCTCCCTCTTTTACGTGATTATGGTTGAGGGAGTATCCATATGGGTAATTTAGAAAAAATTGATAAATATGAAAAATGGTTTTATATTTAGGATCAAAACCAATTTAAAAAATGAGTCTTATATTAAAGACCGAAAGAGTACATCACTTTACAAGATTGGTAACGATGATTGACGCTAATATTTTAATCGGCGTAGAAAAGTAACCCATTTAATTTGTTCTCTTTGCTATGGTGACCTTTAGTATGTAATTCTGATAATCATGAGCATTCGTAGAAAGAAGGGAACAATACCAATTTAGGTTGTTGCAAGTCAGGGAAGCTTTCCTCTCTTAAACAAGTGATTGGAAGTTTTGAATCCTAGCCGTTATGTTTGTAGCAATTCAGTTAGAACGAGTCTACCTTTAGCTCTTAGTCTAACGTGGGACACTAGTTTTTATCGCCAGAAAAAGAGGGTAGGGGGGCGCTTTAGTCATTTAAGTACTCGGAGGCTGCACCATTCATATCTCGATGTGCTTAAAGCTGCATTATGCGTTATATACCACCAAGAGGCCAAGCTTGGCAAGCAGCAGTTGGATGAGTGATCCAAGCATAGGCTAAAGCAACTAATATTAGAAGTTTCATGATACGTGGTTTGCCTCAAATAAAGAAAAGCGGAACTGCTCTTATTCATTTTATTAAACATTAAAAGACTCGAACACATTCCCAGCTGCTCTCATGATGGACAACACACAACAGTAGTTGAAACACAGAGGACAACAAAACAAAGGATTATTAACTTTCACACTTGGTAGAGGAGCCGCCCACAGTTTCTTCAGATAGAGATACTGTTTGGAATTCCCCTGCAGGTGAGTCCTTCCTCACTTGTAGGGTACAAGAGGGTGTAATGCATGTTGACTGGCCCAACCCTGTTTCTTAGTGTCACTGTGTTGTTCCTTTCTATCAGTTTTTTCTCAATCTCTTCCAGCTTCTTTCCGAACTTCTTGAAGGCTTCCAATGGCTTCGCATCAGAAGTCCAGTTAGGATTGTCCCTTGTCCCAAGATAGACCTCATCAGAGGCATGCCTTGATAATATTTCTATAACCGAAAGGTCAACAAGGGTTTGCAACTTTGGTGTTATTGTTTTCAAGAAAGCTTTCTCTGGGTTTGTCTTCAACTCTTCATAATCTGCGGTTCCTTCTTCGGGAAGCAATCTCCTGCTGAGAGTTGGACGATTTACTATATAACCTCCATAAGGATATTGTCCAAAATTGACAGCTGCATGGAGGGCTGAAGAAGTCCAGATGACAATAGTGCAGGTTTCAATAAGCTCTTCACGAGTGTGCATTTTTGGCCACCAAGGCTGATCTTTCAAATCTCCGTGACCAACTTCTACAAGTTCTTTCCACCAAGCTTGTAGTTCAGGGTCTTGCTTAACATCTTCATTGTTCTCATAGTAGCAGCAAACATAGTCATGAACCCATGTCTTAATAGCAGCCCATATCTCAAGTCCATCCACAGCAAAAGGGTAGTCCTCTACCACCAGGCGAAGCCCATGAGGACATTCTGGATCCTCAACAGCCATTCCTCTGAATTAAGTAAATAAAAGGTTAATATGTTGAAATACTAACAGGGTTAATATTTTAGCTTATCTTTCATCTTTAGATCATGACAAACTTTCAGACCCTTTAACCCCCTCCCCCCTTTCAGTGTCTAAAACTAGCATTTAGAAAGCGTGAAACCCATTTTTGTGGTTTATATATGCACTTGAATATTACCTTTTGATAAGATCGGCTGTTAGTGCTTGATCAGGGAAAACCCAGTTCTTGTAAACCTTGGATGACATCTCTATCGAGTATTGTCCAGGCAAGAATGACAACTCTATAATTCCATTTGCGTTGATCAAGGCTTGTCGAGCAAGAGCATTTATATTCATCGTGTCACGATAGTGAGGAAAGAGAAGTTTATAAATAGGATGAAGAGCACTGAGTTGCCTGTTAGTTGCTATGACAAATGGCTCAATGACTGCATGAGTTTTTAGCCTGCAATGCATAAAAACATATTAATAACAAAGCCCATATCATATAATTGATTAAAGTATCTGGGTTGATCTCATGGATAGAGCTTATACCAGTGGCTAACAAGTTGATGATAGCCAGAGTCGTTTACAGTCACATAGGCTTTAGCCAACAGCCAGATGGTACCCTCAACCCCTTGATCTGCAGGCAAGACGACCCTACTTAGAAAGCCTTGTTGATCTCCATCGGGATGGGGTAAACCTAGCTCAATAGCCAATGGCTTCAAAGTCCCATCGTCCTTCAAGAAAAGAATCGTCCTAGTGGCATAAGCCTTTTTTGAAGTTTCATTTATCTTCCTCAGATATGGCATGAATGCGTCGTGGTGGTCTAAGATGAACAATCTCTTGCCTTGGAGTGCCTGTTTGCCAAACAGAATATGATTCAGCAAATGTGCTTTAAGAATAGATTATAAAGGATATGCTCTTTGGTCTACGGTTCCAATACTTCATTTGACATGATTATTGTGAATCTCAAAACTATATCATTACCTCATCCACTGTCACTCCACCCATATTTTGCTCCAGTTGCTCTTTGGTTATTTTGCTCGTTTGATCACCATAGACCCTAACATCCAGAGTGCTTTTTGGGGGGAACTCCTGTAATTAATTCAACATAAATCTGTCAACATCAGCATAACAAAATTTGAACACATGACGTAGATTAATTTGAGGACCACTTTTTTCACTTACTTGGAGAGCCTGAATTACACCTGGATTCACACCAGCCAACATTTCTCTTGCAAATTCTTCATCAGTCATCCATTCAGACTTGTTTTCTGCTCCAAATTAGCAAAGCGTCAATAACAATTGCTTAAGTTTTCCACATTTGTTACCAGTTAAACCATATGCCCTGGCTACCACCTTTAAATTAGTAATGTTCTTTGAAGTTCCAAAAAGAAAAGCAATATACCTTTAATAACTTTAGGAGTAGGATATCTGAGAAATTGTTCACCATCAGTACGGAAGATTTCCTTGAGCATAGGTAGAGGCATTTTTTCGCTGATATTCTTAAGTACATCTTGAGGCAGTTGAAATCCACCTTCATAGAGTTCGCGGACTTCATCAAAGCTCTCGAACTCATTGGACATGAAATTGAATGCCGATTCCAACAATGGCTTCAAATCTTGAGAAATAGATTTCAGCAAATAGGTCAGAAAGTCCGACAATTTAACGTGACCAAATCGTTCATCCCTTGGAACATAGATATCGAAGTTTTGAACTCCAGGAAGAAGTCTACTCTCAGTGTTAGGATCTGTACAAAAAACCAAAAAAAAAAACAAAAGAAAACCCACATAACGTCAATAAAGAATCAGAGTTGTTTAATTAATTAAGAAAATGTATTTGAATCCCTAAGCCCAACCTGATTTAGACGGTGGCCTGCTAGTTCTTCCTCTACGTGGGTAAGGATATTCGGAAGAGCCTCCAAGAGTAGGGCGGGCAAAGCTCTGGTTGAGATCTGGCCAGCCCAAGTCATTGTAGGTAGCATAATCATAGACTCTATCGTGTTCCTGGAGTTGTGAGAATCCATCTCCTCTTAAAGTAATGAGCTCTTGTTGTCTGTATTTGACCAAAGCTTGTGGTGTTTTATTAGGAACATATGCCTGAAAATGCAATACGTTCAATAAATTAATTTACATTAACTTCAGTGTTGAATTGAAAGAACAAAACAGTGAAAATTTAGAAAGGAATTGAACCAGGATTTACAGACCTTGTTGGCGAAGAAGATGCGATCGCTCTTGTAATAGCCGGCAGGGTAGATCCAGGAATTGCAAACAAAGTGGAGGGTTCCATGATTTGGGATATCGTCAAGCGTGACGCTGACGAGATAGAATTCGGTAACAAGATTGTTCCTGATCACGAAGGCTCCAGGAACTCCGAAGTCTTCATTGTAATCAAAGTGGACACTGAAGGCATTCTGTCCTTCCAAGAGCGTTGGCAGCGTGGTCACAAACCCTTCCAGCGACGCGGGTTTTCCAAGCTTTCCCAACCCATTTCCTACATAATTTTACAGATATAATATAAAATTAGTAAAATAAGAGCACTTTAATTGGAAATTATGAGTAGAAAAAATGGCTGAAAAATCCCTCATTACACAATTTATTACTCAACCTCTTTTAAAATTTGTTTAAAAACTTATGCACAACTCTTTTACAGATATACATAGCATGTTTTTAAGTGTGCAAAATGAAATACCTTTGAGCAATGAATTTGATAATGAGAGATTTTTTTTTAATAGTTGTTCCTAATTAATAATTATCATGAATTTTTTTACATATTTTACAATGAAATTAAAATAAAAATTTTTTTGTGTGTATAATTATAATAATTCACATTTATTTTTTAAATTTTTTTGAAAAAATACATAATAGCCACATCTAATCAATATTTGTTCATCTTGATATTTTCAAATAAGCAATTTGAAAATGCTACCAAATACATGCATGGTTCTTCTTTTGCAAGCATTATCGGAACACAAGAAATTATTTGGCAACAACTAAAAGTGCTTTTAAAAAATATTTTTCGTAAAATAAGATAAATTTTTTTAAATATTTATTTCGTATATTGTAAAAATATTTTTAAACTATATTTTGATTTCCATTCAAACACTCCGTAAATAACCAAATGCAATAGTTCCAAGATGCATTTTTGGTAAAAGCAACAATTGCCAAAACATATCATTATTAGACATGTATATAATTATCACAGAAGGGATATGGTGAGTTATTTAATTAGTGATGTGGATATATTAATTTGGACAATTATTTATTGTGGTCAAAAAAAGATGTGAGCACATGATTTGGCCTCGTGCAAGCCCACGCGCACAAGGAATATATTATAAATTATATGTCTCTTATCCGAATGGCATAAACAGTAATAACTCATATATTATATGTTGCAGTGTCCATACTTTAATCTTGTGGACTCCTTTTCATTATTGTTCTATCTTTTTTAGCTAGCCACTGGGGTAAAATAATTTAGGTGGTCTTCGATCTCCATTAAATTGATATTTTCCTCTCTTTTTTTCTTTTTATAGAAAATTGATCTCACTTTGATCTGTGGGGTTGATGGGGTGGAACTGATTGGACAACCTAGATTTAATGGAAGCTTGGTATTTACTGTAAATTTAGGAATCTTAATTATAAATAAGATACTTAAATCTTAAATATAACTGTCAATTTGAAACCAAGGCAACACTCAAAATCATATTTGCAACTCCTTTTTCAAAAAAAAAATGTTTTACGGGGATTAACTGTCATTAATTTAATCTTTTGGAATTCAAAACCTCGTTCCCTCTATATTTTTTTTATTTTGATTAAAAGAAATTAAAGACACATGATGAGAACAGTTTTTTTTTTCCAAAAACTTCCATTAAAATACTGTTCAAACATTCTACAGTAGGGTGGATCGGATCCTTAAAAACTTTTAACTCAAACCAGTCAGCTTCTCTCTTATGTGCATTAGGTGGTGGTGGTGGTGGTGGTCTCTCTTTAAGACCACACACACACACAATACTACATATGTTGCATAGAACCTGTTAAAACAGCCATTATTGAACTTTGAGAATAAAGATTGTGAAGTTCTATGCAAATTAAAGCTTGCGCCATCTAATTGTTGAAACTGAAAGCTTTCTGCTCTAATTTTGAACAGGAAAGTGGATCTGAGTATGATGTGTTTCTTTCTAGTTCATTGTGCTTTTAATGCTGATCTATGAGTAAATATACAAGTAAGGAGAGGAGGATGACGGTAGATTTTACCGGGATCGGCCTTATTGGCACTGATGAGCTGAAAGGAAACGGCGCCGCCCAAGAACTGGCGGAGGCCGTCCAAGACGGAGCCGGCCACGCCGAGACCGATGTTGATGCCGGCGTTGAGATTGAGATTGTTGAAGTCAAGAACCTTCTTGCTCATGAGCACCACCGTGCCTTTGATCTTGCCATGCTTGTTGCCGCCCAGAATATCCGGCACCAAGTTCAGCCCCGCGTTAAACATCTTGATGCTCTTATCTCTCTCTCTCTCTCTCTCTCTCTCTCACTAGTAAACCAGACACTTAATATTGACTAAGCTTCTGAACTGAGTTGTGGTGAGTTTGCAGATGAGGCAATGGTGGCTATTTATAGAGCCCAAGACGAAGACGACGACGATGATGAAGATGCTGATCCGGCATTGATCCGGTTTTTTTTTTTTTTAACCTCTTCTCCACGTGTAAAATGTGTCAGTCTTCTGTGTCGCATGGGATCCCTGACTAACACGGCGTCGTTTCATTATTTTTATTTTTTTTAATAATGATGACGTTTTAAATGTTATTCTTCGTTCTCCGTTATTTTGGTTGTCGTCATGTCCATCATTAGAGCACTTCTTGCTATTATACCATCATGTTTTTAATATTTAACTCAATTTTTCATTTTATAAGATTGTCAAGCACATCGCTGTTGAATTATGCGCGTCCTTGTTGAATTATAAGTTTTTTTTTCCCCCTCATCATCAATAATTCTGCGAATATGAATCTTTGGTAGCATATACTCCGGCAAAGAGAGAAGATTTTTTTATCCTATTTATAAGTTACTTCATTAAATTTTTACCATAAATGTATCATATTGTCCTTCATTTATTATAATGTAGATAGTTTTTTTTAAAAATGTATATATTAAATAGGGGTAAAGTGGGAAAGTTACTATATTTTAATGAAGAATTAATGCAGTTTAAGATTTTTCTTGGTCTATATAAAACATGTTGAAAATGCCTTATAAATAGAACCAGAAGAGTAATTAATTAGGATTAGAAAATGTATGTATGTATGTAACATCGAATGATTTTTAATAATCCTTTCCTTGTTGTGACAAAAAACCTTCTTCTCACATATTTCAGCTATTAAAATGGATTTTCCCTTTATAATAATATTTATGTTATCTTCCGTTCTAATTACAAGACTTTATTTATAGTCTATAAATAAAATTTTATAATTAGTACGAGATGTGGTATTATTTATCAACAAAGTTTTCATCATACTAATAGTGAGATTCAGATTTATATTTTACAAAATATAAATCACATATTTACCAATTAAATTAGCAATGCCTCGAGGTAACCCGCCAACAGCAAAAAAAAAAAAAAAAAAGCTACGTTTTCTTCATCTTTTTTACCCGCTTTTATTGCATAGTTAACAGGATGCCGCATGAGAGGGGACCCAGTTTCAGTGCTCATCTACTTGATGAGTACCATGAGCTAATCAGATCTGAACCGTTCATATCTTATTTGGGTGGTTCAGATTTGATTTTTTTTATTTATTCAAAATAATTATTTTAATATATATAGAATCTAAAATAGTAATGATATTTTAACTATCATTCTTTCAAAAAATATTTTATTCTATTTAAAAATAATTAATTAAAGATTTTAAATCTGAACTGTTCAAATAAGATATAAACGATTTAAATCTGATGAGTTTATAGTGCTCATCAAATGGATGAGTACCGAAACTGGTTCCGCATGAGATGGCCTCAGAGTGGAATAGTGCACCAGCCTAGAACGTTGTCTGTTTCCCTTGTCGTGTTCCGAACGTGATTCACGCCCATAAGATTCTACTGTAAAACTAAATCTCAAATGTAAAAATTACAAAATACACACACACACACACACACGAGCATTAATTAATAATAATTCAATATGTATAAAATGTTTTTTTCCTTTTTATTTTACAGAATTAAACACGTGCTCACAAAGAAACTTCTTAACACCACGCTCGAACATAAAACATTGTCTTTTGACGCTGCTATATATTAGAGCATTTTACGGTTGCCAAAACATTATTTTCTACAAATTAATATTGTTTTGTCATCATATTATATTACCTCCGATCCTAATTATAAGAGCTAGTTGACTAATTCAAGAAGATTAAGAAAATAAGTTGAGTTAGTTATTTGTTCTAAATAGGTGTTGTCTTTCTTAAAATATTACTCCTCCGATCCTTATTATAAGACCCCATTTGACTTTTTATTTGGTCCTAATTATAAGACCCCAATCCATTTTGTCTCTTATATTTATACATTTTTTTCCAAGATAATCCTTCTAATAATGATAGTTTTAGCCAATATACTTAATTAGCAAGGATATTTTAGGAATGACAACACTTATTTATTATAAATAACCAACTTAACTTACTTCCTTAATCTCCTCAAATAAGTCAATTGGGTCTTATAATTAGGACCGGATGAGTATTATTAATCAAATGTATTGACTAGAACTATTATTATTAGAAGGGTTACTTTGGAAAAAATGTATAAATATAAAAGACAAAATGGATTGGGGTCTTATATTTAGGACCAAAATAAAAGTCAAATAGGGTCTTATATTAAGGACCAGAGATAGTATTGAAATACTACCTCTAGTCCTAATATAAGATCTCATTTATATCCTATAAACAAGGTCTTATAATTAGAATCGGAGATAGTATATGTTACAAATGTATGTTTAATAATCTAACTCATACAATATAACAATAAAAATAAATTTTATCTCATTATTAAGTGAAATCTTAGGGGCTCATAAAATACGAAGGAATAACATTTGGTGTTGAAGATAGATAAAGCACCCCATGTGACCATATCTTTTATTTTAATTCCTGCCACGCACCGCTACATATTTTATTCAGGCCAAGGTATATAATCCTTATTAAATAGTACTCCCTCTTAATTTATTTTATAGTATAATTTATATTATAAAATAAATTTTATATTTATAACGGACGAACAATGTATTTGTTATATCTCAACGTAATCAAGTATTTTTTTTTTGTCCACCCACGTAATCAAGTATTTAAATAATTAGCTAAAATCTCTTTAATGATCACTTGGAGTACAAGTGTCCGGTTTGTGCCCTTCGCCTCATATATAAAATAAAAGAAAATAATCTACTCATCACAAATCTATATATATATATATATATATATATATTATTTTTTGAAAATTGCCCCCATCACATGATTTTTTTCCTTTTATTTTATTGAGCTTAAGGACAGACGTGATTTAATTTGCTTCTTATTAATTTTTCTATTACATTTCACCCAGAGGCCAGAACCGAGATTTCACTCTTAATTATCCAAGCTCTTAATTACTGCGACTGTAATGTCACACTCAAATAAATAAGTTCATCATTCATATTTGATAAAATTTGATATTATTATACTTGTAATTATTAATTACAAGCTATATAATATTCCCTTCTGCCAATAAAAATTAGTCTAATTGATAACGAGTCGGTTCATAAATCACAATATCATGAGTTTGAATTTCACTACCGATATGAGGATATTAATAGCAAGCGGTCCGTAAATAATTATGTAATTTTTTTTTTAATCATGGAAATATGTCTTGACTTTGAACAGTGACCACGTGGGGGGGGGACCTTTAAGATAATTGATAAAATTGCAAGGAAAAGTGGCAGCCATGCATGTATACTCTGAGTCTGTGTCTAAAGTTATTCACCAATCAGTGAATGTCATGTTTCACGTGGGATGGCCTAAAATGTTTGTTTTCACACCATAAAATGTGAACTTATAAATATATGTCTAGTAATTTACTTCAAATCCGAACATTTTTTAATTTATAATATATAGATAGAGTAACTTTTAAAAATTCTAATCCCACATTTTATCCTTAAATACAACTTTATTAACTTTTTCCTTTATGCGCATGCATCTTGGGGTGGCGATATTTGGGCATAACAATCATTTCATTTAATTTAAACCAAACTGAAAAAATATATATAAATGGATAAATTATTTGATGAGACATAGATAAACGAGATTAGTATATCATCATTAAATAATATATAGAGGCCATCAGGATTAATTAGTTTAACACTACACGACAATCATGCAGAATTTAGGTCCGAGCAGCTAAAGCACAGTGATGTGAACTTACCCTTTTCTTATTATAAAGCAAAAATAAAAATAAAAATTAAAAGCCATGTTCATTCTTTATTTAATTTTTTTTGTCATTTTAAATTATTTTGCTTTCATACGTGTTGAATTGTTCCGTAGTAGCATAAATATACGGCCCCGTTTCTGGTCACCATCAAATCACACTAAATTATGTCAATATGATGCATCAACATAATAAAATATAATAATAATTATTATTATGAGTTGTATGATTCTCGCATCACAAATTATGAATAATATAATCCGTTTGTTGTACTTTGTATAAAACAATACAAATCCACCTAATTAATAATTCTTATGTGACGACAAAAAGAAGATTAATCATTATATTGTCTGTTGATTTTATTAATTATAAGCTAAATGTTGATGCCTTTTGTTTTAATAGTTTGAGGAATATATATATATATATATATCATTTTCTGATTTTCATTCATGGAAGAGGACAATAATTGATGTTTCATGATAATATAATATAAAAGAGCCTAAGATGTGAGTGGATCCCTCGTGGTCCCATCGAAGAAAGTGAAGTGTGAAAATGCAGGGAAATGCCCTCGTCTCTGAGGACATCAAATTATTGGATATTTTAGGGACAGAGGTCCCATGGTAGGAGTAACAATTGAACTTTTTGGGCGAAAAGAAGGAAAAAAAAAAGAATAATACCTAAGATTAATAGTACTACTTATTATTCTTAATATAAAATCTCATTTGATTTTTATTTTAGTTCTAAATATAAAATCTCAATATAATTTATCTATGATATTTATGTATTTTTTTCAAGGTAATCATTTTAATAATGGTAGCCCTAACTAACATATTTGATTATTAAAGATATTTTAGGAAAGATAACACTTATTTATTACAAATAACTAATTTAACTTTTTTTTTAGTCTTTTCAAATTAGTCAATCAGTTTTTATAATTAAGATAGGAGGTAGTACCATATTTTGATAAGATTCCTGTAATTTTAGTTTTTAAAATTTAACATTATTTTGGTTTACTTAAAGACTTTTTATCCTCTAGAACAATATTTTTGGTTTCTGAAATAAGGTTTTTAGGACTAAAATTACTGATTTTCAGAAATTAAAACTAAAATGAGATAGGCTAAAGAT